CTTCCTCCTTGGAACTGAGAGGTGAGGGTTAGAGCACCAGCAGCCGTCTTGTACCATAAAGCAAACTTGAGAATGGACCCAAGAGCTAATAATGGTGGAGGCTTGGTTCTCGTGAGGGTGAAGCTGTCATCCGATCCTGCAGTTCCTGCCCCTGGACTTTTTATGTAAGAGATAGGCACACACAACTGGATTCAAACTGACTTCATTTCACACAAGAAGCGTCTTCCTAAAAAACTGCTTGTCAAGTAACATTTCGTTCATTGGCTTCCAGCTGAGGAGGATCCTGGGTCCTAAACAATGTTTTCCTAAAATATTCTGTGCAAACCATATTTTCACAAATCTGGTCACTGCTCCCCACTGACTTCCTGTATGAATTTTAGAGATGCCCTTGACATTCAGTATTCAGTTGGCAGTGACTCCTAACCAGTGTTGTTTTAAGTTTTTGAAATTTTCCCTTCTTCAGACAGTTGGATAATGACCAGTAAACAACACTTCAACGTCCCAAAGAGCCACTTAAAACAAAATAATCTTTTGTAAGACCGATGTAGTCACCACCCCTCACGTGTTTTGTGGCCTTGCCTTTCTCAGAGCAGTGGCTGTGAGGGCAGCCCGAGGTTGCCCTGGACAGAGAGGGCTCCAGAGTCTGGCCCTGCTGGCCAGGAGTCCAGGATAAGTGGGCTGACCAGGAAGTCCCCAGTCCCCCAGTAACTGCCCCCGCGAAACTCGAATTGAAACCTGGGTGCATCCAAGGCAGGTCAGGGAACCCGGGCTAGAGTGTTTCCCCAGAAGCAAGAAACTGCATCTTCCCAAGTACATTCCTGGCCTTGGATGTTGTTAATAAGCATTCTGATTTTAAAAGGGTCGAGGGCAAATCCATTTAGGAAAAGTGTGTACGCAGACTTCGCTGCTCCAGGCCTTGCTCACACCTAATTTCCACAGTTAAGGATGCGTGGGTGCGCACATGCGCACGGGACCCTCCACGTCACCTGCCAGACCAGCGCCTGTGAACACACGTGTTAAGGCATCGCTTCTTCCAAAGGCCCAGCTTCATTGCATCGTAGACCACCGGGCACCCGGCTGGGCTCTGGGGGAAAGTCAGGAAGCAGCGTTTGTCGAGTCCTCAGGGACCTAGCTTTAGGAAGAGGGTGGCAAAGCAGTAAGGCACCAATCCAAGTGCTCATTAGCACCAGCTGGAAGGGCAAGGGCAGAGGGGGCTAATTAGAATGCAGGTCTTAACTGAGAGAAGGACTCGGTGACCTGCACTCCCTTCCCACCACACTCCCCCCAGATGGACCTGTGTTCTGAGGAGTGCCAGGCCCTGTGGTGGGGGGCCAGAAGAAGAAGTGATCCTGGGGGGGGGGGGCCTGTAGGGGAGCCAGCACTGGAGGCCGTGCGGTGTGCAGGAAGCAAAGGAGATGGCATGTTTCTTCCCGGGTTGCTGTTTCTTTAAGTCTCATAGTAAAAAGAAGAGTTCTGAGAAGAGTTCTGAGAGAGGGACAGGCAGGCAGATCCCTGGGAAGTGGGCACACCTGTCTGGAGGCGAATCAAGAAGACTAAACGGCAGCCACGGCAGCCACGGGGACAGAACTGCCACAAGCTCCCACCACACCCCTCCCTGCCTCTGGGTCCGAAAACTCTCCCTTCCCTCTCGTGCCTGTGGGACCTTCCTGGAGCCAGCAAAGGCTCTGCTCTGGCTGTCCACTCAAGGACATTGCTCCAGCCGCTCCCCTCCACTGGGTCATCCCCATCAGCAGGGACAGTGCTGCCATTTTTGTCAGCTCAGAAGAACCCTTTCTGTCTCACCTCCCTTTACAGCAGATCTCTGCTGGGACTTGTCCCTCCCTCCCCCCACCCCCTCCTGGACCCACTCCAATCACTGCCCCTCCAAAACTGCTCTTGCCAGCGTCACCAGCGACGTCCCAGTTGCAGGACCCAGTGTCCACGCTCTGTCCTCATTACCTGACCTTGCAGCAACATCTGGCCAGATGCTCACTCCCTCCTCCCAGCAACATCATCTTCCAAGGGCTTCTGGACACGACACCTGCCTGGTTTGCCTCCTATCTCCATCCTTCCCAGGCTTTCTGGAGCTTCCTCCCCATCTCATGGGCTTCTTTGTAATGGAATACCCCTGGGCTCAGTCAACCGGGGACCAGCTCTCCGCTAGCCACACTCTCTCCCGTGGATCGGCACTAACTATCCAACAGAAGTTTCATACGAACCACACGTGTAATTTAGAATTTTCTAGTAACTATTTTAAAGAACGCAAAAAAGAAACAGGTAAAATTAATTTTAATAACTTATTTTATTAACCCAATATAGCCAAAAGTTTCCTTTAACCATGTAATCAATATAAAATTATTAATGAGATATTATACTTTTTTGTACTAAATCTGCAAGATCCAGTGTCTATTTGACACAGCATATCTCAATGCGGACCCTAAATTTTCCCTGGAAATTCTTGGTCTGTATTTAGATTTCATAAACTCTACAGTGAAAAAGTAGATTTACATACCCAAGTTCTTCCAAATATACTTAAACTTTTTCCAATAACTCAATCCAATATCAGCTTTTAAAATATAAATGAATTTGGGGGCCAGCCTGGTGACGCAGCGGTTAAGTGCGCACGTTCCGCTTCAGCCGCCCAGGGTTCGCTGGTTCAGATCCCGGGTGTGGACATGACACCGAATGGCAAAAGCCATGCCGTGGTAGGCGTCCCACATATAAAGTAGACGAAGATGGGTACGGATGTTAGCTCAGGGCCAGTCTTCCTCAGCAAAAAGAGGAGGATTGGCAACAGATGTTAGCTCAGGGCTGATCTTTTTCTTCTTCAAAAAAAAAATATATATAAATGAATTAAAAATTTTGTTCTTCGGTTGCAGAATTTCCACTGGTTTTGATGCGGGGATGGCGAGCCGAAGAGTCGAAAGAAAGATTTCTTGGACTCTCAAGGTCTGGCAGTAGTGCTCTTTTATTTAGAGAATAGTACGGAATAGCATGGGGACAGGACCCATGGGCATTCAGAGCTCCTGCTGCTGCATGGGGACAGGACCCATGGGCAGTCAGAGCTCCTGCTGCTGCCCTGAGTTGAGGGTTAGGGCTAAATTTATAAGGCATGGGTACGTGACTTATTTTTACTGGAAAAAGAAAAGATGATGTAAAAAGTCATTAAATGATTTCAGTGCAGATGGGGTCTGGTTATTGTGCGGTCGTATAACTTTAGATACGAATCTGGTCATATAGATCGGCACGTAGGTGAGGATGCCCTGGGCTTCTCTCCCTGGGGCAGCCCTAATTCATACCATAAAAATCCACCGGGTCATATAGTTCGGCATGTAGTCCAGGTCACCTTGGGCTTCTCTACCTGGGGCAGCCTTAATCCACATCAGTTTCAAGTGTTCAGTAGGTACATGAGGCTGGGGGCTCCTGCATGGGCCGGCACACAGCTAATCTCGAAAACGGTGGCTACCTCCCAGCAGGTCTGTGCTGATGACTTCCAGGCATTTATCTCCAGCCTGCAGTTTCCTCTGCGCTGCAGACCTGTGTAGCCAGTGTCTACTCAACTGCAGGGCCGGCTGAGGGCGCTTCCATCCAACCTGTCCAAAACCGGGCTCCTGTGAGGCCACCCCACCCACCAAACCAGCCAGGCCAGTTTCTCCCCCTTGGTTAATGGCAACTCTTCCTTCCTGTGGCTCAGGCCAAAACCTTCCTACTCTCCTCACTCCTTTCTCTCTCTCCTACCTCATATCTGGCCTGGCAATAAATCCTATCAGTCTTTTCTTCAAGATATTTTCAGAATCCCCCAGGTCTCCTCACCTCCACGGCCACCACCCTTGGCCACGCGCCCTCATCTCTCCTCCTACCGCAGGAGCCTTCGGACCTGTCTGGCAGCCTCTGGCCCTGCACCTGCAATCTTGTTCGCCATCCAAGTGCTACTTTCAAAAGAAGTCGGATGTGTCCTTCGTCTGCTCAGAACCCTGCGGGCTCCCGGCGTCACCCGGGAGAGAAGCCTTCAATGGCTCATAAGGCCCTCCAGCATCAGACCCCTTCCTCCCCAGCTTCTAGGCGCCGCCTCCCACTCTGCTCCTGCCACACCGCCCGCCTGGCCGTTCCTGGAACACAGGAGGCCAGCCAGCTATTTGCAGGCTGGCTCCCTCAGGCCTTTACTCAAAAATCACTGTTGCCTTCCCAGTGAGGCCTTCCCCATCCAAAACCCATCTCTCCTACACGCACATTTCACATCCTCTTTCCCGGCTTTTTTTTCCCTTAGCCCTTAAACTATTTAACATAGTGTATATTTCACTTACGCTGTTCCGTCTCTCCCATCACAAGACCACTTCCAGGAGGACAGGGACGAGTGTGAGTGTGTGTGTGTGTGTGTGTGTGGTGTTCTATCCCCAGTGCCTAGAATAGTGCCTGGAACCTATTAGGCGCTCAATAAATATTTTAAATGAACGAAGGAATGACTTCCAGGCAGGGAGAAAAGTTGCAGCAAATCCAGGGGCAGCTGCCACCTTCACAAGCCTGCAGCTGGAGCGGGGGAGCCCAGGCCGCTGCACTGGGTGGGGGTGGGTCGGGGTGGGCACTGGAACCTCCCCGCCCTGGGACTTAGTCTGTAAGACGCGCGCGGGCGCTGGAACCGCAGCGTCCCGGGACAGCGGCTGGAGCGCGGGGCTTCGCGGGCTGTACCCTCCTCCTGCGAGGCTGGGGGGCAGGCAGCGGCGGATTGGATCCTCCGTCACCACGGCCTCCCGGCCCAGGGAGTCCCGGCAGATCCGAGCGTCGAAGAACTCGGAAAATGCACATCGCGCCTTTAAGCGCATGGAGGGGACGCGTTTTCAGGATCCTAAGAGACAAACGGCCCACCGGATGAACGCGGAGGGCGGGCCGGCTTTGTTCGGGGAGGAGGAGCTGCGGGCTCCGGAAGGGGCGCGTCACGTGGCCGCCAGTGCACCCCCCCCCCGCATCCCCGCCCCCGCCCCCCGGGGCCCGCCGTCTGCGGCGAGGCGGCGAGGGCGTCCCAGGGCGCGCAGGTCGCCTCCACCTTCAGTCCTGCCTGCGGGCCCCCGGGGCCGGGCGCGCGGCCTCCAGGGCCCGGGCTGCTGGGAGCGGACGCGCGGGGGAGGCGGGCGCGTGCCGGTGCGCGTGCCCGGGCCGTGCTCACAAAGGAGGCCCTTCCCCTGGCGTCCCGCAGCCTGCTCGGGGAGCGCGCGTGTCCGCGGCCCCGGGCCCGGGAGGAGAGGGTCCGCCCGCGACCCCCACAGGGCTCCCCGCTCCCCGGCCGCTGGAGCTGCCCTTTATTTCTTTATTCTGGTGGGGGAAGGCGGGGTCATCTCTCTTGGAGACGACTATCTTTCCAGGAAGTTTGTGCCTATTAATATTTCAGTTCCTGGCAGCTGCTTTAAGTGCTGGGGGGGCGGGGGGACGGGGGGCAAGTTCAAGGCTGCCGGAGAGGGAGCTGCTGCGCACTGCCGGCTGTCGTCGGCCGGCCTGGGGCGGCGGGCCCAGGGGCAGCCCGGGCGCCTCCCGGACACGTCCCCTCCATGGGGGACAGGAGCTGCCATGACCCCCCTGGGGGACGCGGACGAGGCGGGCGGGTGCCCTCGGAGAGAGGCGGCCCCCGAGGCTGCGAGGAGATTGAGAGCGAGGGCGCAGCTCGCGCTTCTTGTAGCGGTGCCGGCGGAGGAGCAGAGAGGGCCACTCGGCCGCCGGAGGTCGGCGGTGGGTGGGTGCGGGTGGGGGGCGCATCCCGGTAGGAAGGCGCGTCCCCGCGAGCTCGGGCCCGCCTACCGCACTCGCGGGGGTCAGGCGAGGAGGAGGCCCGGAGCCGGGACGAGGTCGGGACGCTCACTCCGACCTTGGTGCGGCTACACAACGGGAGGGCGCTGCAGCAGCAACTTGACCTTTTAAAGCTCGTATACTCGTCCCAACCCCTTACAAGGTGATCGTTATCTCCAGTCTCCGGGAGCGGAAAACGGAGCTCGGAGAAGTTAACGTGCTCCAGGTCACAGTGCTGCTGCCCGACGGCGAGGTCCCCCATTTTGGACATACATCGTGCAAGAAAGGGTACCTTGGAGGCGAACGCGACAGTCTTCTTCCTACAGTATCGGCCAACAGAGTCGTCCCCTAAGGGAACCACAGGAGGAGTGGGCCTCTGGAGCGGCAGCGGCTCGAAGCTTGCCAGGTTTTTCCTAATCCCCGGCGTTCACCCGAGAAGTGCCTGCTCAGGCCTTCCAGCCAATCACACATCTGGAACACCAGTCATTTTGCCAAAGAGCATTTATTTTTAACACCCCTCAGGTGCATATGTAGATAAAGAGATTTGAAGTGGTTGACAACAGCTCACTCTGGAGTGTGGGCTCCTGACAAGGGTACTTCAGTTCGAACTAACTGTCCCCAGGGTAGAAATGGACGTCAGCACTCTCTCCTCCCGTTTCCCAGAGTCGGTGGTAGATGCTATGGCAAGCTTCCTGCTCAGGATTATCAGCCCCACGCTGCTCGGGCACTCTGTCCAGCTCTGCAGGAAGGTCACTGACTCCAGGGACAAGACTTGCAAACACTCGGGCAAAGGGAAAGTTTGCCTCATGAATCTTCTCACTCTGGTCTCCCGGTCCCCTCTCCCTTCCTCCCCAGCCACGAGTGTTTCTCCGGGGTGGCCAGTGGACCAGAGGGGAGGATGCGCCAGATTTCGGGCATTTTCAGGTAGGATTTGCTGACTAGGAAGTCTTCCCTGACCCGGCTCCTAGGAAAAGTCCTCAAAGGAGAAAAAGCCCCCCATGGCGCCCCGGGAGAGCCAGCTGCGGCATCTGTGTGCGTAGGATGCCAGGCTCGGGACCCTGAGGGGAGGAATTCCGCCCTCTGCCGGCCCCGGTCAGCCCGGGGGGCATCACACGGGTTTAAGTCCTCAAGCACGGCTGCCTCGTGTGCCTTTCTCTCCCAACCCTGAGCCATCCCCAGAGCGCCCTGCCCTGGTCGCATTCCCGCCGCTGAGGTTTCCGTGAGAGGGGGTCCGCGAAACAAATGCCCTCTCCCCGGCTTGGGTGGGCCAGGCCCTGCCAGCTGCTTTCACTTTTGGCTGCAGAAAGCCTGCCAGGCTGCAGTGTGCAAGGGCCTGGAAGAATGGCTGGTAGCATCAGCTATTTTAATGCAGAGTTAGGCACACAATCCTTGCTAAAAATAAATACAAAGGAAAACCCCAAAGTAGCTAAGCCTATTTTAATACCTTTTATTTTTCTTGTTCCCGGTTCTTTTGTCTTCCCTTTGCCACTCTGGAGCTGCGTTTCACACAGGGCCCACCCTGAGTGTTGGCCAGGCTCCCACCTATGTCCTGGGGATGGACAGCCCAGTCCCGATCATTGGCAGGAACAGAGCCAAAGGGAATAGAGGGAAGGCAAGGAAGATCCCACAGCCCTTTCTCTGAGTGCAATTTATGTTAAACAGAATGACGGCACCACTTCTGAGACGCGATAACTGAAAAGGAGCTCAGGGGCCAGGAGCCCTCTTCCCCCGTCCCTCCCTCTTCCAGCTCTCCAGCCAGCCCCTCCGTGGGGAGAACGGAGGTCTGCAACGCATCTGCCTGAGAAAGGGCTGGCAGATGAGGAGGACGCCTAGTCTGAGTGCCTGTGGGTTTCTGGGGGGCATCGCTGCTTCCCTTTTTGGAAAGGAAGCAAGGCTGTGGACACCTTTGGGGGTGTCTACTGTTTAATTAATTAAACAAGGAGGTCATTAGACTGAGGTGGCTCTACTGCCACGGAAGCCTACGTAAGCAAAACAGAATCTAAGCCTGTAAACGCTTCAAGGTTACGAAAGCACAAACAGCCAACTAGGCTTTAAGCTACAGCCAAGCAAATCATTGCCTTTCTTTGCTTCCGCACGCCCTCTCTGCAAGCCTTCCCACGGCTCCTGGAGGACGCTCCTGACCACTTCCTGTTTGGTGCTGTCCCATTCAAATTGATTTTTGCTCAAAGAAACTCAAAACGTGTAATATGCCTCAGTTTATTTTCTACGGCTCCCTAGACTGGCATCAGTGACCCCTCTTTTCTCTAGGAACTGACCCGCAGCCCTATGGGGTAAGGAGGTAGTTTCTACCTGCTATGTTATTACAAATCTTCTCCGTCCATCCCCCGTGCCTCCCCCACAGTTGACAGGGTCAGGGGTGGACGCCTGGCCCATCGGAGCCTCTTCCCTGGAAATTGGAGCAGAGAGGAAGGGAGGGAAGAAGAGAGAGACAAAGCCCCACACCCGGGACCCTTCAGTGACTTTCTATTGACTCTTTTTTCCAGAATACAGGTCACACTTTCCTGTTTCTTTGCATGTCTTGTAATTTTTTTTTTTTTTTTGCAGGGAAAGATTCGCCCTGAGCTAACATCTGTTGCCAATCTTCCTCTTTTTTTCCCCCTCCCCAGAGCCCCGGTGCATGGTTGTCTATCCTAGTGGTCGGTCCTTCTAGTTCTTCTGTGTGAGCCACCACCACAGCATGGCGACTGACAGACGGGTGGTGTGGTTCGGCACCCGGGAACCGAACCCGGGCTGCTGAAGCTTTGACGGCACCGAACTTTAAGCCCTAGGCCATCAGGGGTGGCTCTCGTAATTTTTTTCATTGACAAATGGACATTTTAGATGATATATTTTAGCAGCTCTGGATTCCATCCCTCCCTCTGCCATCATTATTGCTGGATTTGGTTTATTGTTGGCTCGCTCAGATAAGTGTCATTTTCTGGAGTCTGTCTCCCCACAGCTGCTGCTCTCTCTGCTTGGTTTTTTCTTCTTGTTTTGGCTGCTTTGGTGGGGTGATAGTTAGGCCTTCCAGGTGTGAAAGGGCATTTTTTTGGGGGGGGGGGCAGTGTATCTCTAAGGGGGAGGTGAGGGCCCTGGAAGAAGCCTAACAAATTCTCCCGACTGACAGCTGGCTGCAGGACGTGTGAGGACTCCTAGCCCCTTCCAGAGCAGGCTTTCAGGATGGGTGAGGCCAGGAAAGGAGGGCTCACCGGCCAAGGGCAGAGCCAGGACAGCAAGGGGCCTCCTCACTTGGGTGGGCTGAGGGAGCTCTTTCCCTCCTGGTAGATTATCTGTCCCTGTCCCAGACAGGAGTGCTCAGTGGCCCTCCACGTTCAGTCAGTCAATTACCAATGACAGGGGCAGCAGGCCCTGGAACAGCACCGGACAACAGTGGGGAGACTGATGAGAAAGTGCAGAGGGCTGCAGCAGCCCCAGGCGGGTGAAGGGAGAGAGGAGAGACCAAGGGGCTTCAGGGAGGAGGGTCTGGGCTATCCCCACAGCCCCCAGAGCCTCAGGCTGTCTTTCTGCTGTAGCCAGAGAAAGTTGCAGTGGGACCTCTACAGCCTGATGGCCAAGACTCACAGCGGAGGTCTCTGGGCAAGGCACTCTTTGTCCCACTTTATAGATAAGGAAACTGAGTCTCAGAGAGGTTGAGTGACTTGTTCCAGGTCACGCAGCTGGTAAGTGGTGAAGTCAGAATTCACCCCAGTATTAGGATATAAGAAGCACTCTCCATGAATCCTATAAAAAAGTCTTTATGTCCCCACCCCCACCTCTACTGGAGAGCCTGATTCAAAATAAGTGTCAGGAACTGCGGGTAGCACAAATAAATAAAGAATAAATAGAAAACGATGAATGAAACCTGCTGTAGGAGGTGCCTTCTGCACGGCGGCTGCCCAGAGGACTGAGCCGTCTCTCCTGAATAGGCTCTGAGCCCTCCCAAGTTGCATGGGTCCAGGGTGGTCCGGGTGGGGGGGGGGGGTAGGCGGGTAGGCGTTGGGCTGTGACAAGGCAGCTGGTGGTTCCCACTTGAGGCCCCAGGTTGCATGCCCCTCCCCACAGGCTTCCCAGGCCTTCCCTCACCTTCTGGCCAGGGCAGGCCTGGGCATCACCATCGGGGCAGCCCAGGGCTGCTGGGGATGGAAGGGGGTCTGCAACCTAAACGGGAGTGAAGAGGGCCCTGCCAAAGCCCAGCATCCCTTGGCATCTGCCTCCCCCTCAGCCGGGGGCAGGGTTATCTCCTGTGTGTTCCACTGGCTCTTTATTTATTTTTTTAAATTAAAAAAAAATTTTTTTTTGAGGAAGATTAGCCCTGAGCTAACTGCCGCCAATCCTCCTCTTTTTGCGGAGGAAGACTGGCCCTGAGCTAACATCCGTGCCCATCTTCCTCTGCTTTATATGTGGGACGCCTACCACAGCATGGCATGGCAAGTGGTGCCATGTCCGCACCTGGGATCCGAACTGGCGGACCCCGGGCCGCCTGCCGAGAAGCGGAACGTGCGCACTTAACCACTGCTGCGCACTTAACCACTGCGCCACCGGGCTGGCCCCCCACTGGCTCTTTAGACTTCGTGAAAAAGTGACAAAGTTCAGGGGCTTGAAAAGCAGCGAGGGAGCAGAGTTATCTGCTAACGTGGGTAGGGAGGGTGGGGGGGCCGGGACGGGGGTCTCTGCCCAGCACCAAATGGCCCAGGCAGGGAGGGGCAAGGCTTGGGTGGCCAGTCGCCCCCCTCACAGCAGGCAGCTGAGACTTCCCTTGCCACAGGCCACTCCACATGCAGTCCTGGAGGCACAGATGTGGGTGGGAGTAGGGAATGGGTGGATGTCCCCAAGCCAGGGTCTCCACGAGGAGCACCCCCTCCAGGCTGGGTTGGCGTCCGTGGCCAGCACACCTAGGTGGACTGGCCAGCGAGACTGCTCCCTGGATGGTCTCGGGTCCCTTCCAGCTGAGACATGTGGAGCAGCCAAAGAATTTGCCCTGGGGGGAGGGGGGGCAGGAGGGGAACTGAGGCAGGAAGGGACCCAGCTTTAGCATTCTGCTGGGAGGATGCAGAGGGAGTGGGAGAGACCTGGGCCCTTGGGGTCATTCAAGGCGCTATCAGGTGAGCCCTGAACCAGCTCCTCCCGGTCACATGCCTGCCCTTGGCCCTATGTCCGTTTTCACCCAGAAGTATTTATTTTACAAAAGGATTCATTTCCAAGTCCCCTGACCTGTTCCAGGAGGAATTTCTCTACAACTTATTCATTGAGAGAAATCCCATCGCCAATTATTTTGCGGAGAGAGGACTCCCTTTGTCAGGCCCCTGATCAGCCGCCGCCCGTCTCCTGTCTCCCGGGCCGACTTGCCTCCGCCGAGGAAGGTCTGCCCCGAGGCGCACCCCCAGCTCAGCGGTGGGGTGGGGGAACCCGGCAATTAGAGGGCCTGGCTCCCGCCCTCGGCTGACTTGATTTTATAGTACAATAACAAGGCGGTGTGTAGGACGTCGCCTGTGCCCACTCTCCCCGGGTGGGCTCGGGGCAGCCTCGGATCGCGCCCCGTTACACAGAAAGGCAGCGCGCATTCTCCGTTCACGGGCGGGAAACCGAGGCGCCGGGAGAGCCAGCATCCGCCCCGAGGACCCATGGCGAGCCACCTCGTTTTCCGACTGGTGGCCTTCGGGGTTTGGGGCCCGGGACAGGGACTGAGCGATGGTCCCCGCAGAGGAGACGCGCGCGCTCATCCCCCTGCCTCCCCGCCCAGCCGACCCGGCCGCGCCTCGGCCTCAGGTCCCGCGCAGGGGGCGCCCGACCCGGGTCCCGCCCTGGCGGGGGCGCTGGCGGGGGCGCGGCGGGGACGCGGCGGGGGCGCTGGCGGGGACGCGGCGGGGCGCGAGGACGAGGCCCGGGCCCGGGCGCCCTCTGCCGGCCGCCGCGTGGAGCGGGAGCCCGGAGCCCGCGGGCTGCCGCCGGGCTGGGACGGCGGCCAGGGACCAGCGCGCGGGGGCGGCCGGGCCTCGGGCCGCGTTTCCTTTCCTGCAAAAAGGAAGCACCTTTGCGGTAAAACCAAACTTCTGTGAATTCAGCGCCCCCGACAGGCCCCGGTCTATAAAAGGAGAGGAGGCGCGCTGGCGCCAGGCCCGCGGGGAGGAGCGCGGGGCGGCGCAGGGCGGACACGGTGGCTATTGTCGCGGCGCGGGTCCCCTCCCGGGTCCGGGAGGCGGCGATCGGGGACGGGGGCGGAGGGGAGGAGCCCCCCGGCCGCCCCGCCCGCAGGCCCTCTTTGTCCGCCGCCGCAGCCCCGCCCCGGGCCTCGCCGCCACGGCCGCTCGCAGGCCGGGTCCCGCCGCCTCCCGCGCCTCCCGGATCGCGCCTGGGAAAACGGGCGGATGTCATCGCGCGTCCCTTCAGGCGAGAGAACCCTCACCAGGAGGGGAGGGGAGTGGCTCCAGGTCACACAGCACCGCCAGGACCCGCACTCAGGCCTGCGGGCGCCCCGCGGGCGCCTCTTGCGGCCGTTCCAGCGCACCCCTCGCCCCAGGGCACCCGCGCGTCCCTCTCCCCGGGGGCGGAGCTCGCAGGTCCAGGACAGGCCGCCCGATCGCTGCTGTCTGCTGGATAACCCCCCCAGCACATCCTGGATTTTAGAAATCGCCCTTATTTGCAGAGCCCAGTGAGCGCCGCTTTCTGGACTGTGAAATCAGCACCAGGGGAGGGTAATTTGCTGCTGCTGCTGTTCCTGGGGATCCGGTCCCAGCTCCCAGGTGCCGACCTGAGAAGACGGGCGCCGATTGGAGGGTCGGCTGCCACCCAGCAGGGGAAGGAAGGGCAGGGGAGGATTCAGCGACGCAGCGCGCGGGCCCTGCCTTCCGGGCCATGGGGCAGAAGCAGGACCCACGGGCAGCAACCGGAGGTGGTGCGGGGAGCGGGAGCCAGGACTGCTGGAAGAGCCCAGAGGAAGGGGGCCCGGGGGCGCGTTGGGGAGCCCCGTACCAGGGCCTCTGTTGGCGCCCTCAGGAACCCGGCGCCTGGTCGATGCTCAATAAAGAAACAGATATCTAACTATGTGTTGCAAGATGGAGGTGGGGCTTGAGCTATGAGGGCTCTGGCTGAGCAGAGAGGACCGGAAAGATCTGGGGATTTTTTTTGAGCCGGTCAGGAACCCAGGGCTTGACCTGGCATCGATGGACCACCCGGAGGAGCAGAGGCTCCAGGTTGTGTCGCAGTTGGAGAGAAGGTTGGCCAGCTGGGGATGATGTGGAGGAGGGTCTGAGGGCTGGCAGAGGGTCCCAGAGGGTGGTGAGCACCCCTGTCAAGTGGTCCCTCCAAGGGGGGCGGAGGCCTGGTGCAAGGAGGCCTCGAGCTTGTAGAGGTAACAGTTTACTGTGTGAGCGCAAAGCACGATCTCCAGCAAATGTGTGCCCTGCTCCCCAGCTCTTCCTTGAATGTGCTCCCTGCTGGTGACTTGTCTGCCTCTCCAGGTGGGGCCCTGCCAGACCAGGAAAGGCCCCGGTGGGGGCTCCCCAAGTCTCTTATGTCCCTTAGTACCTTGAACCCAGCAGCATCATCTCCCATGGTTGTGGAAACTACCTTTAGAATGTCACGTCCCTGCCGGCCCGGTCGTGCAGCAGTTCAGTTCACACATTCAGCTTCTCGGCGGCCCAGCGTTCCCCGGCTCGAATCCGGGGTGTGGACATGCCACGGCTTGGCATGCCATGCTGTGGTAGGCGTCCCACATATAAAGTAGAGGAAGATGGGCATGGATGTTAGCTCAGGGCCAGGCTTCCTCAGCAAAAAAAGAGGAGGATTGGCAGTAATTAGCTCAGGGCTAATCTTCCTTAAAAAAAAAGAATGTCATGTCCCCTGACCTCACATCTGCGTCCTGATAATGACTTCTTCTGTTTTTTGTTTTTTTTTTTTTTTTTGGTGAGGAAGATTGTCCCTGAGCTAACACCTGTGCCAATCTTCCTCTAGTTTGTATGTGGGATGCTGCCACAGCATGGCTTGATCAGCAGTGTGTAGGTCCACACCTGGGATCTGAAATGGCAAACCCTGGGCCACCAAAGCAGAGCACACAAACCTAACTACTACGCCACCAGGCCAGCTCCTGATATCACCTCTTGCTATGTCAGCAGCTCCTTGCTACATGGGCCACAGGTCATCACACTGATCAGGTGTCCCTCACGCACACTTGCCTGTGACACTCGAAAGGGACCCCTTGGAAGGGGCCTGGGCCTGACAGGGGGGTGCCAGCAATGGAAACCAACCCTGGTGAGCTTCAGCAGAGAAGGCGTTATTGGAAAGGTACTGGGGAGCTCGAGGAGCTGCTGGAGTCAGGGGAACAGGTCTCAGAAAACAAAGATGGACCAGGGAGTCTCGATGGCCACCACCACTCCTGGGCCACAGCACCGCTGGCCACAGCCCCTGCCCCGGCACTCAGCACTGGGTGCTGCAGCGGGGAGGGACAGCTAATGGACCTGCAACTCTGGTCCCTTGCTCCTGGGGGCCTCCCACAGCCCACGCCTGGGTCTGAGCCCTGCACCCCAGCTGCCCCAGGCAGGGAGAAGGATGGCTGTCCCCTTTCAGCCTCTGAAGAGGGAGGCAAGGCCCTCCACCCACGGCGACTCCCATATGGGGATTGCCCCCAGATAGGAAGGCTGGTGGACAGCCCACCAGCGTTCGCTGCCGGGAGCCGGGAGGGCCTTCGACAGGAGCAGAAGGACCACATAGGCTTCCGAGAGGCCCCCTGGCTGGGAGTGATGTCCTGGGGAGGGGCTGGCAGCCACGGCCAGGGCTCAGTTTCAGCTGCCATGTGTGAGAGGAAGACGCTGCGGGGGGCTGAGAAGGATGTCCCCATGGGAGGAGAGGAGCCACTGGGAGCCTGGTGGCCCCGGAAGGGGTGGGGGTGGATCCGAAGGCCACAGCTGCTCCTCCTTGAAGCCCCTGGGAGAGCAGCAGGGACTCAGATCCTGGCAACAGGAGTCATTTGTTTGTTTGTTTAATTTACCTTTTGTCTTAAAAACTTAAAAAGCTATACAGTGAGGGTGTGTACGAGGGAAGACCTCCCTCACCCTTCCTCCATCCCTCCCTCCCCGGGGCCGGCTGTCCTGAGCAGCCCCCAAACGTGTTCACACTTGGGTGTAAGCAATAGGTCAGGTTTGAGTTTGTTTCTTTCAGTAACTGGAACCACGCTGTATATATTGTTCTTTAATATGCTCGCTGGAGATGTTTCCAGGCCAGCACCCTCCTTTATCCATTACATATCGTTCACCATCCGGATGGACATCCGGGCCGTCGCGTTCTGCTCTGTTATCATCATGCCCACTTTTGTGCACAAATTGAAGAACGGGGCTGGAAGTCCAGGGGAAGAGTCTCGGTTTGAGTCCTTGCTGCTTCCAGGTGAAGGTATGTGGACTTGGCGTTGGGCCGACCGCGGGTAGCGCGCGCTGAGCCGGTGGGAGAGCGGCCGGCCTGTGGATTTGGGACTGCAGGGTCCAGCGGCACCGCGTGGGACCAGGTAACTTTGCTTCCGAGCCGCGGTAAGGGCTGCGGTCCGCGCAGGCCCAGACGCGCCCACTAGATGGCGCCAAAGCCAGCGAGATGCGGCCCAGGATGGCGAAGTCCCCGTTGTCGCCGGTGAGGAGTCCGGGGTCTGATGGAGATGCTCCTAGGCCACCGGCTGCCTCGCTCACACACCCCGGAGGTTGTGCGCTGCGGGGTGGTTCTACAGGTTGAGCCCTGGACGAGGTGGGGGCTGAAATTCCGGCTGTGGGACGGGCCAGGACAGCCCAGGGGAGGGGCGGCTCCCTTCTAATCACACAAGTTCAGCGAGGGCTTCGGCGGCCGGAGTGGGGGGAAAACGACAGTGAGACAGCCCCACGCGCCATAGTGCCGGTACCTGCAGAGGAACCCAGCTCCTGCAGAAAATACAGGATCTGAGAGGAGGATGGGACCAGAGTTCTCTGTGCTGGGCGCTGAAGATTCGATGATGGGTCTGGGAGAGTCTGTCCCCAAAGGAGCTTGCTGTCAGGTAGAGGAAACAGACACGGGACACACTGCAAGGTGTGGTGGGCACTGCTCTGATGGTCCGTTTGGTGACGGGAGAAGGTGCTTTGAAGCCTCCGCGGCCCTCATCCAGGTCCGGGAGGGCTGTGGGCCTTACCACGTTTGTCCAGGAAACCCTCAAAGCGGAATTTCCCTCCGCTCCTTCCTCCGGTCTCTCCCACCCCCTTGCTGTCCCTAAGTTCAGAGACCATGGCCACCACCCCCAGCAGAGCCCAGGCCGGCTCCTCTCCCAGCATCAGACGCTGTCCAGGCTCTCAGGACTGGAGCTCAGACATGACTTTAAAATGAATGAATTTTGCGGAGAAACATCAGCCCTCAGCCCAAGTTCCTAGCACACTGTAGATGCTCGGTGAACTTTGTGAAGGAGGAAGAGGGAAGGAGGAGGAAGAACGGACTCTGGCTGATCAAGGTTCCCATGCCTTAATGATCTGTCCCGGGGCAAGAGACAAGCTGTGGCGAGTGGATTTCCCAAAGGTGGCGGCACCATCTTGTGGGTGAGCATCTCCCTCCACTCGGGGGTCGGGGTGGGTGGGGGTGGGGGGGTGGGGGCGAGGTCAACACCCCTCCGTGGAGCATGGGGTCTGCTTCCTCCCCTGAAATCTGGGGAGCCTGAGTGTTTTGGAAGTGATGTCCCATGATGATAGAGTTCCCTCCTGGCATTCTCTCTTGGGACGTGGCCCCTGGGATCCCTGAGGGACATATAGAAGTCCCTCTACCCTGAAGCCGCCAGCCTGGAGGGGCCACATATAGCTAGAGATGCCTCCAGTCTCACATGGTTGAGTCATCTCAGGAGCCAGACACGGGAGTAGGTCAACCTTCTGATGACTCTCCACCCCGGCCACTGAGCTGCCGGCCCTACCCAAATTGCAGATTCATTAACAAAATAATATTGTTGGAGGCCACTCCATTCTGGGGGTGGTGTCGTTTCACAGCATCAGATAATGAAACACAAGACCTGAAACTAGGACTGACCACCCATCCCGGTCTGCTTGGGACTAAAAGGTTTCTGGGACTCAAGACTTTCGGTGCTAAAACTGGGAGAGTCCCAGGCACGCTGGGCCGGTTGGTCACACCGTAAAGCAGCGGTTCTCAAACTTTAGTGTGCATCAGAAACACCTGGGGACTTCCTGAAACACAGGTGGCCGGGTCTGACCCCCGGAGTTCCCATTAGTGGGTCTCCTGTGGGGTCCAATAATTGCATTTCTAACAAGTTCCCAGATGCCATTGCTGCTGCTGGTTGGATCCCAAACTTCCAGAACGACTGGCCAGAAGGAAGGGCTGAACTGAGGACCTGCAGATCCCTATTGTTGTGTCCCAGTACTTCCTTCTGTCTGATCCAGCAGTGTGGCAGGAAATGGAGGGGCTCAAGGTCCTCTGGCTGACAACCAGGAGACACCCACGTCTTCCTGGCAGGGCGGTTGGGCGCTCTGGAAACAAGCCTAAGCCCAGAAGTGCCCAGCCTACTCGCCGCCAGGGGAGGAGCAAAGTGAACTCACTCGCTCAGAGCGCAGATCAGCCCTTGGCCCTGGAGGGGCGCCCGCGTGCCACCGCCCCCTCAGGAAGCAACCCAGAGCGACCTCAGGAGCCAGCCCTCTGGGAAAGGGACTCGCCTGCCTCCCAGGGCCCCCACTTGAGGTTGAGAGCTGGAAGGGACCTGTGCAACACTGGGCAACCTCCTCTTTTAACTGGGGAGGAGGGGAATGTGAGTTGACGTGACTTGCCAAGACCGTCCACCAAGAATGAGGCGCAGTCAGAAGGTTCCCACCTCAGACTGGTCCCCCAGCTCAGCCTGGAATGCCACAGCGCTCTCCCCACAGCTCCTAACTCCATTTCGTCCCACACCTGTGAGCCCTCATTTCCCCACGGGCCCTCCACATCTTGGGTGTCTCAGTCCACAGCAGCTCTGGCCACTGTGAACTGCAGGCCTGAGCACAGGAGAAGCAGAGGTGGCGTGTGCTTACTGGAGGACACCCAGCACGGTCGTAGCCAAACCTCAGCTTACAATCGCAGATTCCCGGGCCCACCCCCTGGGTCTGAGACCAGCCCAGGCACCGACACTTTCAGCAAGAGCCCTAGGTGATTTTGCTGCCTGTGGCATTGGCCACACCCTGAGAAAGACCTGCCTGGCATCATCTTCCACAGAAGCCACCCAGGAAGAAGTGACGGACTGACAGAAGCCCAACTCAGACTTGGGAGGAAGGGGGAATTTATTGTTCCCCAAACCCAGCTAGTGGACAAAGCAGAGCAAGGATATCATTGGGCCTCATGGACAAAGGGGAGTCGAGGCCTGGAATGAGTTCTCTTGTCTCTGCTGGCTAATTTCTCCACCCACTTGGAAAATAATCACCCACAGGCAACATCTTCCATCAGAGAACTGACTCACTCTCTCCCAAATTAAGAAAGTCTGGGGGAGGGCTGCCTGGGTCGGGTGCTTCTCCCTGGATGAGTGAACTGCGATCAGGTGAGTGGGGCCTACATGGGCCCCAGTAACCCAGTCTCGGGGTCTAAGGGAGAGAAATGCGGTGAAGGAGGGAGGAAGACCACACAGATTCTTAACTCCAGTCTGTGGAGGCTGCTGCCAACCACTGAGTCTCTGGGCAGGAGACCTGGTGGGTAGCCAGCCTCCAAGATGGCCCCATGATTCTTATCTGGTATGCGTGTCCCTATGTACCCCTTCCACGGTGAACAAGGTTGACCTGTGTAAGCAAGAAGATAGTGCAGAAGTGATGGATAGTCTTCCAGGTGAGGCCCTGAGAAACACTGCCGCTTCTGCCTTGCTCACTCTTGGGTCTCTGGCTGGGGGAAGCCAGCTGCCATGTTGTAAGGACACTTAATCAGCCTATGGAGCAGGGCTGGGACGAGGCTGAGGTGAGGCACTTGCCTCCTGTGCAGAATTTCAGGGAATGCCCCAAAAGTCAGTAATCTCAATCTTTTAATGTAATATTTTAAAAAATTAAATTCATGCAAAAAAAAAATCCACGATAAAAAAATATCAAAATTTTAAATAAAGACAGGCTTAGTCACAGTACCATGCTGCACCATATTGGAGCCTGAAGCAGAGGGAGAATTCCGTGCTGTTGGTCCTGATCCGGGCGCAGGAGCCTGCCAGGAGTGTGGGAGGTCTCTGTCCCTTCCCCGGCTGAAGATCTCACTCCCCTGCCAGGTGACTGGTTAGGAAAAAGCATGCGCATGTGGAGTCATCTGGATCATCTGTCTCCAGGAGGAAGGCAATCGAGCAGGGCCTTACCCTCCGTGTCAGGACAAGGGCGGCGAGCCGGCGTGTCCGCTCAGGCCAGCTCTGGGTCTACAGGCTGACGCCGATAATGAGTAATTGGAGCCCCATTTGCAGAATGCTTATCATGTGCCGGGCCCTCTGCCAAGTACTTTTTGGAATCACTCCTCAGAACAACTCGGGAGATGGGTTCTGTTTACACAGTTTTACAGATAAGGGAACAGAAGTACAGAGCACCAGTGAAGTGTTCAGAGGGTGAGCGGTGGAGTCGGGCGCTGACTCAGGCAGTCTGACTCTAGAAACGACTCATCACCTTTGGCATCGGGAGTCAGCCAGCCTGGAAGGGGACTCTTGGTCCTGCAAGTGTTTGCTGTCTGCACTGGGGAAACTGCCTGACCTCTGTAAGGCTGTCTTCACCTCTGCATGGTGGGGACAATAAATGGGAGCCGTTTAAAGCACTTAGCACCGTATTTGTTACAAAGTAAATAAACGGCCAGCATTAGCCGCGGTTATTCTTCTTTTGGGTGGAAATGAACTCGAGATGGTAGCTCCCACTCAGGGACAGACTCCCTCTAGTCTGCTTCCTTTCTCACTGACCTGGATAACCACCCGCCCTCACTCAGCAGGGTCCCCTTGGCCTCTCATGGGCTTGTACCTACTCCCCACACACCCCTCTCACAGTGAAGCTCAGAAAATTGGAGAGATGCTGGGGAGAGTCTGGGGCGGGTGGGAGAGAGGAACAGGGAAGTGAGCCAGGCCAGGAGAGGCTGTGGGCCTGGTGCAGGACATTCCCCCTGGGCTAGGATCCCCTGAGAGCCTCAAGCAAGCTCACCTGTGGCTCCGGCCTTGACCCACGAGACCACCTTCCAGAGCAGGTACAGGTGAGCGCAGGCCACCCCCAGGCCACCACCCGGCTGATCCCAGAGGCTTCCGAGGTGGGGCTGAAGACCACGGAACAGGGGCAGGCTGGGACCTGCATGGGATGCTGGCTGGAGGGGATGGAGGAACCACCTCTGCCCTTTCTTCCCATTCCCTCCCTAGTCTCTTTCCACAGCAGCTCGTGGCACAGGTGAGGCCCACCGACTGTGTGTGCACTGGTGTGCAGGCGGCGAGCATGGCTCCGGCCAGGTGCTACTGCCCGTTCAGCCGGGCCATCCGACACACCACGGCTTCCCAAGAGTCTGTCAAGTCTTCTGAGAAGACATGCTCTCTTCTCTTCTCGGCCCTTTGCCCCCTCCCTTCTGGGGAAGGGGACAGCGCTCGCCGCATCATGGCTCTCCCGGTGCTGTGACACAAACTGTCTGAGGCACACAGATGAAGACGGCCCTGCCCTCCAGGCCTCCCCGGGTTCTGGGTCCCGTCTGCAGAGAGGGACAGGCATGAGCCCATTTGGTTCCAATGTCTGGGCCATGGTGGGAGGCCATGGGGGGCAGGGGCAGGGGCAGGGAGGGAGGACGGAGTCCTGAAGGTCGTGAAGACTCAGCCAGGGGCAGGAGGGGCTTTCCCCGGAGGAGAAGCCCTGAAGGGTAACTCTGAGGAGTTCTGGGGGTGTGTTCTGAGAGTGGGGGACAGTGAGAGAGGGTGGGGAGGGAGGCGGGCCGGGTGTCGGGGAGCTTCGTCACTAGCCCTGCTTTCGCAGTTTGCCTTTTATCTAGAATTTTTTATTTTATCTATTTTATTTTATCTATCTGGGGAGCCACAGGAGGGACACGATTAGATCTGCCTTTTGGAAACCTCCCTGGCTGCGCTGCAGAGAACGGACGGATGAGTGGGGAGGCCTGGCAGCGGAGAACCAGGATGGAGAGCCCAGCGAGCCGGGGCTGGCCCGACGGAGGGGGAGCAGCCAGTGCGGGTGATGGTTGGGAGGGGAGAGTCGCTAGGACTTGGGGGCTGACGAGAGGGAGTCCATGGAGGACTATGCGCCCGGGAGGACCATGCGCCCACCTGGGGATTCAGGAGGAGGCAGGTTTGGGAAGCTTCAGAGTGGAGATGCCAGGGGGACTCCGCAGCAGAGTCCAGTGGGTGCCAGGACAGCGTTGTGTGGCATCTCCCTTCACCATTGTGTGCATGAGTAGCAGGCCCGCTATGTTAATACACACGTCACTCAACCCTCCTTCCCCCGCTCCTCCCATGGGTGTCCCCTCCCATGTGCCTAAGACCCCCGGAACCCCCTCTGTTTAAAGGGTGACGCTGGTTGGTGTGGGGTCCATGGTCTCCCGTGGAGAACCCCAAAAGACTTGCTAACACTGCTCAGGGCCCCTCCCCGTCAGGTGGGGTGACCCTCAGTATGAACTGTGGCCCAGCTCAGGGCAGGTCCTGTCACCTGTCAGCACCCTCTCCAAAATTTATCTTGAATTCAACCCGTCTTCACTGCACCACCCAGTTCAAGCCGCCACAACCTCCACTCTCGATGCACCACCCAGAGAAATCTTTTCAGAAGATAAACCAGAGCATGTCTCTCCTCGTTTTCACATTCTTCCGGCCAGCTCCCCACTGCACCTGGAACAGAATCTAAACTCTTGTCTGGCCCACAAAGCCCTAGGGGATTTGCCCCTGCCTTCTTCTCTGATCTCATGCCTACTACTCCCCTGCCCTTGCTTCTCGCTGCACTGGCCATCTTTCTTCAAACACATAAAATCTGCTCCTGCGGCAGGGCCTTTGCACTTGCTGTTCCCTCCCTAGAAGGCTCTGCAGGCTAAGTGATCATTCAGGCCGCAGACACAATATCCCCTCAGAGCAGCTTTCTTGAATTCTCAAGCTAAGTTGGTGGCCCCGGTGCAGTGTCACACCTTCTGTTTTCTTCATTGCTCCTTCATTATCTGACAATATTGCTTTTCCTTGTTTACTTGGAGTGTCTCTGCCCAGCAAGATGCCAGGTGTCTGATGACAGCAGGGCCCTGCTGGCCTCGATGCCCCAGTATCACCAGTGTCTAGTACTAGGAGAGCAGGTGCACAGGAATAACAATGAATTGTTACTGAATGCTATAGAGCCCCTGGTCCAAACTGCTTCCTAGCCCTGGCATCTGGGCAGCCTGGTGACATCCCTGCCCCTAAAGACAGCACCTAGTGACAATGTCAGGCTGAGGGGTAGTGAGAGGATCCTGTGTCATCCTTAGTGATGGACTGACTCCCCACACTGTGCTCTCTGTGCCCACGCAGCCAGTCTCCTCCTGCACAGTCCGGGCCAGGTCAGTCTGTGCCCTCCCAGCTAGTCCGCACTAGGGCTAGCCTCTCTCCAGCCCCTCTCCCCCCTGCCAGTGCCAAAGTCCCCTCCACTCCCTGCTCTGGGGAAATGACACTCCTTTTAGAGAGCCACCCACCCGACTCTGGTTGGAGCTGAGCTGGCGGTGAAGACAGGAGCTGAGGGGAGCTGGAGGAGGGGAGAGGTCACGCGGAGCACAGAGCAGCGAGCACTAACTTCGGTTAGAGAGTCCTCTGAGAATAGGGTGAAAGCTGAAAAGGCCCCGTGTCACTGCAGCCTATCCATGGCGTGCACAGACCAAGTTGGGAGCCTCCCTCCAGCCCATGCTCTCAACTGCTAACGCCGTTTACTGCTTCCTGGTTGCCAAAGGCGTTTTATACACGTGACCTCATTAAACCTGACAGGGAGCCCCGAGTCCTAGGTTACAAGAGGAAGCCGGATGCCAGGGTGGGTGCCTCCCCTGGCGCAGGGTGAGAGAGGAACTGGGAACCCTGGCCTTTAGGAGACAGATGGAGAGGGGAGGGGCGCCCAGAGGTGCAGCAGGAGACCAGGAGAGGATGCTGGAGGCCAGCGGAGCAGAGAATCTCAAGAAGGAACTAGTAAACAGGGTCCAATAGCACAAGGCAGCCCAGGACGCAAAGGTGTTGATGGCTTTAACCACAGAGACTGCTGGTGACCTTCGGTGGGACAGAAGCCAGAGTAGTGTTGGGACAGTAGAGACAAGCCTAGGACCTTTTCCTAAGCAGCTGGCATGTGTAATGGAAAGATGGGGCAAAAGCTAATGGAGGCCGGGCTCAGGGGACATGAGCTTTCTCCTTTTTGAGATGAAACTTGAGCACGCTCACATCTGAAGGGTGCAGGTGGCCAGGCTAGGAAGAGGCCCTAAATGGCGCGGGGGGACTCTGAGACAAGGGATGGGAGGGCATTGGGGGAAGCAAGGCCAGCGGAGGGGAGCAGGACGCAGGGCGGAGATAAGGGCCTCTCGCTTGTTCGAATTGGGCCCGATGGCAGTTGGAGGGGAGCGAGGGCGGGCAAGGCTGCAGAAGGACCCAGAAGCCTGGGGCCACAGGACCTGGAGCAGCCCATCGGGAGGGAGCAGGGAGACCTCTGCAGCAGCACCTGACAGCCCAAGCGTGCAGACTCAGTGACTGTGTTCCTCCTCATCCCGCAGACCCTCCTTTTCTGGAGGCAGCAGTCCCGTCCCCACTTTGTTAGTAGCGTGGCTCCCCGAGGGCCAGTTTCAACGAGACACATGGATCACAGAAGAAAACTGCTCCATAAAAGCCAACGAGAACTGGGCAACAAATGAAAAGGGTCATAGCCTCCACCTACAGGTAAAATAGCACAGTCCCACGGAGGTGCACGGACCAAGGCCCCACAGGACTGGAGACCAGAGAATTCAGGGAAAGGTTTCCATCTAAGATGACGGGTAGCCCCCAATCCAGCTTTGCTTCTGCTGCAAATGGCTCGGGGCTTTCAGGGCGGTGCGGCGTTTCCTTGTTTTCTCAAACTTACGGTTAAAAGGGAGTGGAACTAGATAGCTGCAGGCAGGCAGCGACCCTAGGCACAGCCTCGGGCTCAGCCTGGCGAAGTGACTGCCCCCAGCCCTGTTGCCCTCGCCCTGACAGTGGACGGTCCCAGCAGGCGCTACTGGGAGTGGGGCTGCTCCCCTCCTGCGGGGGAGCTGCTTTAGCCACTCATTCTTCCTTTCTGTTTAATTCTGTCTGCAGAATTTGGGGCTGTTTCTGACCAGGATGGAGACCAGTGTAGTGGGGGTACCAGAAGGAATGATGTCTGTTCTGAGCACAAAAGAACTGCCCAGGAGGGAAGAAACTGTCACAAAACTTGTCAGAGATCAGCTCATCTGGTCCAATCCTCCCATTTCACAGGTAAGAAATCCAAGTGCAGCCCAGAGAAGTTGTCTCGTCAACCTCACAGTTGGTGGCAGTGTGTGCTCTACCTGCAGAGTGGGGACACACACACACACACACACACACACACTATCCCAGGAAGACAGGGAAACTGAGAAAAGAGGGAAGCAGCCTGTTCAGACACCAGCAGTTAGTACGTGAAACCAGAGAGTATTCCAGAGACTCTCTGGGACACCCATTTTGGGGCCAGAAGAAAGAAAAACCTTCACTTTCATTTTATGTAACCCCCCAGGATTGGCCGTCCGTCTGTGCACTCAGTGCTTTGCTGTATAATATAAAGACTTCCCCAAGACTCAAGGGAGGAGAACGGTCCTTTAGGCAGAAACAGTATTCAGAGGATATTAAACACACAGGGACATAAAAACAGTGTTTGCCACAGCATTTTTAAAGGGATTTACTTATACTAAACAGCAAAATGAATGTGTTCCAGGAGATCCTGTCCCCCTCTCCCAGCCAGCTCCCCTTGAAAGGTTTCTGGGGACAGGCATCTCCCTCAAAGACAAGGAATTGAGGTTTCGGGCTACTGCTGGCTGCCTTATCTAGAAAAGGCTGAACTGAGGAGTCCCTGACAGTCACTGTGGGGGACAATGCAGTCCAAAACCCCTCAGTCTCCTCACAGACTGCTCAGAAAAGGACCTGAAAACAAGGCAGAGAGAAGCCCCCAAAAAGTCAAGTAAAGGTCTTTTGAGAAGACGAAGATGATGCTTACTGAATGCACACCTCAAAGGACAATCCCCAACTGGCTGTGACAGATCTTTGTCCTCCAGACCCTGGACTCTGAAGCTCGTTCTCAATATAACCCTGAAACCCAGGGGATGGGTGCAGATGGCACCGTTCACTCTCTATCCTCTCGCTCCAGGATCCAGGATGGATGCGGACAGCACCGTCCACTCTCCATCCTCTCGCCCCAGGATGGGTGCGGACAGCTCCGTCCACTCTCCATCCTCTCGCCCCAGGATGGGTGCGGACAGCACCGTCCACTCTCCATCCTCTCGCCCCAGGATGGATGCGGACAGCACCGTCCACTCTCTATCCTCTCGCCCCAGGATGGATGCGGACAGCACCGTCCACTCTCCATCCTCTCGCCCCAGGATGGATGCGGACAGCACCGTCCACTCTCTATCCTCTCGCCCCAGGATGGGTGCGGACAGCACCGTCCACTCTCTATCCTCTCGCCCCAGGATGGATGCGGACAGCACCGTCCACTCTCCATCCTCTCGCCCCAGGATGGGGGCGGACAGCACCGTCCACTCTCCATCCTCTCGCCCCAGGATGGGGGCGGACAGCTCCGTCCACTCTCCATCCTCTCGCCCCAGGATGGGTGCGGACAGCACCGTCCACTCTCCATCCTCTCGCCCCAGGATGGATGCGGACAGCACCGTCCACTCTCCATCCTCTCGCCCCAGGATGGATGCGGACAGCACCGTCCACTCTCCATCCTCTCGCCCCAGGATGGATGCGGACAGCACCGTCCACTCTCCATCCTCTCGCCCCAGGATGGATGCGGACAGCACCGTCCACTCTCTATCCTCTCGCCCCAGGATGGATGCGGACAGCACCGTCCACTCTCCATCCTCTCGCCCCAGGATGGGGGCGGACAGCACCGTCCACTCTCCATCCTCTCGCCCCAGGATGGGTGCGGACAGCTCCGTCCACTCTCCATCCTCTCGCCCCAGGATGGGTGCGGACAGCACCGTCCACTCTCTATCCTCTCGCCCCAGGATGGATGCGGACAGCACCGTCCACTCTCCATCCTCTCGCCCCAGGATGGGGGCGGACAGCACCGTCCACTCTCCATCCTCTCGCCCCAGGATGGGTGCGGACAGCACCGTCCACTCTCCATCCTCTCGCCCCAGGATGGGTGCGGACAGCACCGTCCACTCTCTATCCTCTAGCCCCCTCTGCACCTGTTCTTTAAAAGGTTCAACAATCCTGCTCACGCTACTGGGTAAAAAAGCAACAGCCTTCAAAAAATTAATGTGTCTACAGGGATGGTTCAACATCCGCAAATCAATCAACGTGATACACCACATCAACAAACTGAGGAATAAAAACCACATGATCATCTCAATAGATGCAGAGAAGGCATTTGACAAGATCCAACAGCCATTTATGATAAAAACTCTGAACAAAATGGGCATAGAAGGAAACTACCTCAACATAATAAAGGCCATATACGACAAACCCATAGCCAACATCATACTCAATGGGCAAAAACTGAACCCCATCCCCCTGAAAACAGGAATGAGACAAGGATGCCCTCTATCACCACTCTTATTTAACACAGTACTGGAGGTTTTGGCCAGAGCAATCAGGCAAGAAAAAGGAATAAAAGGAATCCAAATAGGGAGGGAAGACGTGAAACTCTCGCTGTTTGCAGACGACATGATCTTATATATAGAAAACCCCAAAGAATCCATTGGAAAATTCTTAGAAGTAATCAACAACTACAGCACAGTTGCACGGTATAAAATCAATTTGCATAAATCAGTAGCATTTCTATACTCCAGTAATGAACCAACAGAAGAAGACCTCAAGAATACAATACCATTCACAATCGCAACAAAAAGAATAAAATACCTTGGGGTAAATTTAACTAAGGAAGTGAAGGACCTATATAATGAAAATTACACGGCCTTTCTGAGAGAACTGGATGACGACATAAGGAGATGGAAAGACATTCCATGTACATGGATTGGAAGAATAAACATAGTTAAAATGTCCGTTCTACCTAAAGCAATCTACAGATTCAACGCCATCCCAATCAGAATCCCAATGACATTCTTTACAGAATTAGAACAAAGAATCCTAAAATTCCTATGGGGCACCAAAAGACCCCGAATTTCTAAAGCAATCCTGAGAAAAAAGAACAAAACGGGAGGCATCACAATCCCTGACTTCAAAACATACTACAAAGCTACAGTAATCAAAACAGCATGGTACTGGTACAAAAACACGTGCACAGATCAATGGAACAGAATTGAAAGCCCAGAAATAAAACCACACATCTATGGACAGCTTATCTTTGACAAAGGAGCTGAGGGCATACAATGGAGAAAACAAAGTCTTTTCAACAAATGGTGCTGGGAAAACTGGAAAGCCACATGTAAAAGAATGAAAATTGACCATTCTTTTTCACCATTCACCAAAATAAACTCAAAATGGATTAAAGACCTAAAGGTGAGACCGGAAACCATAAGGCTTCTGGAAGAAAACGTAGGCAGTACACTCTTTGACATCAATATTAAAAGGATCTTTTAGGACACCATACCTTCTCAGAGAAGGGAAACAATAGAAAGAATAAACAAATGGGACTTCATCAGATTAAAGAGCTTCTTCAAGGCAAATGAAAACAGGATTGAAACAAAAAAACAACCCACTAACTGGGAAAAAATATTTACAAGTCATATATCTGACAAAGGCTTAATATCCACAATATATAAAGAACTCTCGCAACTCAACAACAAAACATCAAACAACCCAATCAAAAAATGGGCTAGAGACATGAACAGACATTTCTCCAAAGAAGATATACTGATGGCCAATAGGCACATGAAAAGATGCTCATCATCGCTGATCATCAGGGAAATGCAAATCAAAACTACACTAAGATATCACCTTACACCCGTTAGAATGACAAAAATATCTAAAACTAATAGCAACAAATGTTGGAGAGGTTGCGGAGAAAAAGGAACCCTCATACACTGCTGGTGGGAATGCAAACTGGTGCAGCCACTATGGAAAACAGTATGGAGATTCCTCAAAAAATTAAAAATAGAACTACCATACGATCCAGCCATCCCACTACTGGGTTTTTATCCAAAAAGCTTGAAGTCAGCAATCCCAAAAGTCCTATGCACCCCAATGTTCATTGCAGCACTGTTTACAATAGCCAAGACGTGGAAGCAACCTAAGTGCCCATCAACAGATGATTGGATAAAGAAGATGTGGTACATATATACAATGAAATACTACTCAGCTGCAAAACAGAACAAAATCATTCCATTTGCAATACCATGGATGGACCTTGAGAGAATTATGTTAAGTGAAATAAGCCAGAGAGAGAAGGATAATCTGTGTATGACTCCACTCATATGAGGAATTTAAAATTATGGACCAAGAACAGTTTAGTGGATACCAGGGGAAAGGTGGGGTGGGGGGTGGGCACAAAGGGTGAAGTGGTGCACCTACAACATGACTGACAAACATTAATGTACAATTGAAATTTCACAAGATTGTAACCTATCAATAACTCAATAAAAAAAATTAATGTGTCTAATGCACAGAATGAGAGAAAATATTTGCAAATCATCTATCAGTTAAGGACTGATATCCAGAATATATAAAGAACTACAATTCAACAATAACAAAACAACCAAATTAAAAAATGGGCAAAAGACTTGAATAGACATTTCTCCAAAGAAGATACAGGCACAAGAAAAGATGCTCAATATCACTAATTATTAGGGAAATGCAAATCCAAAAAAATATGACACCACTTCACAACCATTAGGATGGCTGTTTCATAGACAAACATTAAAAACAACTCTGGAGAGAAACTGGAACTCTTGTGCATTGCTAGTGGGAATGTCAAATGGCACAGCCACTGTGGAAAATAATATGGCAATTCCTCAAAAAGTTAATAATAGGGACTGGCCCCATGGCCAAGTGGTTAAGTTCGTGCACTCCACTTCAGTGGCCCAGGGTCTTGCCGGTTCAGATCCTGAGTGCGGACATGGCACTGCTCGTCAGGCCACGCTGATGCGGTGGTCCCACATGGCACAGGTTGAAGAACCCACAACTAAAAATATACAACTATGTACCAGGGGGCTTTGGGGAGAAAAAAAGGAAAAATAAAATCTTAAAAAAAAAAAAAAGTTAAAAATAGAACTACCATCTGATCCATATCCCATTGCTGAGTATATATCCAAAAGATGAAAAGTGGGGTCTGCACACTC